ATTTGCAAAATGGAATACACGGCTGTTTTCTGCTCCCACAATTGCAACCATCTTTTCGTCATCTAATATCCGTACAATTGGGGATTAAATCATGTGTCGGGGGGTAAAGTTCTTTTACAACGGTGGGCTTCAAGCGCCCTCTTTGCTCCTCGTATCGAAATTGTCGGGGGTCGAGGATTGCGGGAGTTTCATTCAGACACATGAGTTGAATATGCGTGTGATAAAATGCTCGTAGAAGATGGAATTCAATTGTTGCTTCACTGGCTTCCAAACGTGGCATCCACTCATCAAGCCATTGAGATATTGCCACTCTCTTCAAATCTGGGTTATAGTGAGATAATCGAGGTTTTTCCAAAGATTCTCCATTGATGTTGTCGTGATTATTATTCTCAATACTATTATCATGATTATCATTGTCATCGTTGCTGATATTGTCATGACTATTATCATGATCATCATTGTTACAACCGTCAACGTCATCAGCATCAGAAAATTCTGGTGAGGTGCTTTGATCTTCGTCAGTTTTTCTCTCATATTTTTGTTCGTACACCCCTCATGCAATTTCTATGGTATCGAATATGTCTGCTCTCACAATCTCTTCTATCGTGGGAAATTTCGATAAGCGTGTAAAAACATCATCATCGAAAAATTTTGCAATTCTCAACAAATCTTCCACTCTTGATGATTCAGAGAGGGCAAGAGTTTTTTTAATACCCTTGTATTTCTCCTTGCTACAAATAACACAATAATTTTTCCCATTCCAAACCTGTTGAGATCTCGTTATTCTTCGTGGTACAGGTTTCGCATTTGATTCGGATAAATTTCCATTGCAGTCTAAACCCTGACGCTTTTCCACAAGTGCATCCACTGTTTTTTTAACATTCTTCTGCAATGTATACTTTAAATAACAAGCTCTATGATAAAGGAAATTCTCATCAGTGACATTCGCCAACCGCTCAACAACTGAATCCTTCCTCTGTTCTGCAGCCTCTCGAATTTTCCGACGACCCTGAGCTCCACTACATAATTTTCCATCACCACATGCACAGATCATACATATGTCAGAACTCTCTTCATCGTATTTCTCCTCTGCCAATCGTATACGAATCCCTGCCATTGTAAAAAGACACAGAACCTGATGAAATGTTTCCGCCCCACCCCCACTCTTCGTACAGGACACTGGATATTTAGTAAATTTACATTAAATTCAGAGGAAGATTACGTCAAGATCAGTAAAAATTTTGATTCGGTCCGAGTACGTGTCTAAAAACCGCTAAACTCCAGGAGAAACTGAAGCAACTAGGTGGTATATTTACGAAAGAAAATAAAACACGAGTTTTCTGAGAATCAAAACAATACGGTCGAGGACGTATGTTATCGAGGAGTAACAACACCGTGAGCGACTGCTCTTCCATGCGCGCGACGTGGCAACTCCAGCGGCGTTTGGGTTTTTTCATCATAACTCCGTTAAAAATTGAGTTATCGGAATAAATAAAAAAAACAATTTTGTGTGTCTTAAAGAGACGAACAACTTTTGTTCGAAAATTTTTTCTGTAGCTCCCATAGATACGTCGTTATGACGTTTTAAGCAATTAAATTGTTAATAACAATAGCAAGGGCAACGCGGATCGGAAGCTACTGGTCATATTCGTGTTCTACGCCCCAAAATTAGTAAATAACGACTAAGTACTCATGGGGACCTCGATTTTGGGATAAAACCATAGCCAGCGTATGGACTATATTCCCAACCGTTCATCTCCCAGAGCCGCGTGAAGATCAGATGGGAAAAAAAAATGTTTTCCGTTTAAAAAATTGAAGTTAATGAATTTTTTTTTGTAATTCGGAATATCCGCGTTTTTTTTCAATAGCTTGTTTATTTATTCAGAGCGAATTTAATATATGTTGCTATTTATTGTGACCGTTTTCTAGATTCTATAATACTAATTCCTGAAAAAAGGATTAGGGCGAGTCAAGAAAAGGGACAAATAAGGGATAATTTGAGAATAATAATCTATATTCTTTTCTAAATACAATTATGATCGTCAAAAGACGTAAATAAGGCCTTTAATGAGATCTAGGGAGTGGGTAAGGCCAGGCAACTTTTGTACACGTGCAAAGGGAGTGAATCTAATGCAGTAAAAAGGGGAGAAGCTAGTCGTGTCGAGGGAATGCAACTAAATATCAAAATAATAACTGAAGGGGAAGAAACAAAAGAGTGTAGGCTCACCGTTGGGGGGTATGAAGGGTAATATTGTGGGGACTACGAAGGGACTTCACTCTGGCGAACACGTGGAATTCCACCGGCGCCTTGCACTCCTTCAAAATACCAGGGCGTTTTCCTGAAGAGCCTCCTTTCGACCTCGGGGTTTCCTGGGCACCAATGCTAGAGCTGGGATGAGCTCGATGTATCAAAAGTCCTCTTTGTATCCGCCAAATAACTTCCGGGCGAATTTCACTGTATTCACTATTACTACTTTCGGGGCACGTGGCGACTCACGGGGCAGCTAATGCACGAGAGACGGTCTTTTCTTTTCCTTCGCGATTCGTGGGGGTTCGTCAGGTGTCGAAGTCCTTCGGGTTTTAATTCGGGAGCAATCGGGGCCAATCAGCACGGGTGAGTGGTGACGATGACCACAATCCAGGGATGTCTCGCAAGGGATTATTGCAGGTGTTGAATATTCGGGGGTCCAGTATGGGGAATTTCCAGGAGGCGATGGCTTCTCCAATTGATCGGGTGGGGCCGGAACTGATGTCTTCCTTCGGCCGATGTCTTCGTGATGTCCGGGGGCGGGGGTAGAGGGGCGATGAGGGGAAAAGTCTGGGGAAGGGGTATCCAACAGTGGCGGGATTTACCTTTTAGGGGGCAGTGTGTAGTGGGAAAAAATATGTAGAAAAATAATAAAAAATAAATGAATAGGCCTCGTCACATTATATCTTGACATTGAATCGATGAATTTCTTTTTTTTCTTCCATATTTTTTATTAGAACATTTACCACAAATTTTGTCTTGATCGTATCCGCGAATCTCCTATGGATTCGAAGTTAAACGCAATTTTCTAGCTCCAACCCCTAAATCCGGCGCCGGGAATGAAAACCTTTTGTGCGAGAGAGAAGTCTCCGTCTCGCTCCCACTCCCTACAGCATTGTTCCGACCATTTGCACATGCGCGCACGGGCCTGTGGAGCATTAGGGTAAAAAATGCGGTTGCCAATTGAAGTGAGCTTGAAAGCTCAAAATAATGACTACATCGGATGCCCCCCTCGAAACTCTACAGTTTTTGGATCAAACATTTTTTTGTTACCCCACTGGTAAAACAGTCCGATTATTTCCGACTGGGTGATAAAAAATGAATCGGCGTTAATGATGTTTGTCTTTGCCCGTTAAATTCCGATTGGCTGGTAGGGTGAACAGGTCAATTTCTGGACGGGGGTTAGTTTCTGGACGATTTCAACTTGTATTGAATATTCCACAAGTAAAATGAAAATTGTATTGATTATTTCACCTCTCCATAATATCAATTGTGTATAATCATGTGATCAATTATTTTCTTCTATTGATCAACATTTAATGAATAGAAAAAATATTGACCCAAGCGTCCAGAAATTGGGGTTTCGGCTACATTCAACCATTTGTCAATTTAATTATTCTTTGTTTTGTTATTTTCACTTTAAACTATTTTTTTCTGCTAATTAAAACATTCTTGAAGGTATGGAAGCCATCATATCCCCATTTAGGTGATTCTTTTACTTTAGATCCTACCACAAAACTCGAATTTCCTTGAACCGTCCAGGAATTGGCCTGGTCACCCTAGATAGAGTTTGGAGTTTGAGAAAATTATGGGAATTAAGAGGATTAAGGGTATGTGGCCGTTATCGTCCGATTACTTTCCAAAAAAAGTGGTTGATAGATCCCATATTGCTCATATAAATATTTAATATTTATTGCTCATTTAAATATTTATATGCGTAATATGAGATCTATCAACCACTTTTTTGGAAAGTAATCGGACGATAACGGCCACATACCCTTGTTCCCATTAATTCTTATAATTTTCTCAAACTCCAAACTCTACCTACCAGCCAATCGGAATTGAACGGGCAAAGACAGAAACATCATTAACGCCGATTCATTTTTTATCACCCAGTCGGAAATAATTGGACTGTTTTACCAGGGCCGCCCCCCTTGAGAGATATTTAGCCGCATCTTTTCAGATGGGACACCCTGTATAATAGAGTACTATATATGTATTATAAAATATAATGTGCATAATAAAAAAAATGGAATAATAAACTGATAATAATAATATGCATAATGTAAAATAATATAGTATAGTATAGAATGTAATATAATAAAGTATTGTCGCAATATCTTTAATGTATACTATCATCATTTATGAAAAATCTAATGATACAATACGCCGAATAGATTGGCTTCAAAAAATGTCAATTTCTTCGTGCTCGTCAATTAGAGATGCAAATGCGTCACATGACCTGTCATATGACGGTCATGAGACCGTCATTGACGGTCACATGACGAGGCGTTCATGACAGCTATCACATTCCCCCTCCCGCTTCTGTGACCGTTACAACTTGTCAAGAAAAAATGACAGTCATTTTTCATCTATATAGATGAAACTTTATTTTTTTCTCGGTCAATTTTCAGTTGAATTCCTTTTGTATTGGCCTAATCCGCATTTTGAAATGGAAATCACGTTTTTTTCCATCCATATAGATGAAACTATTTTGTTTTATTCATGACCGTCACAAATTGGAAATTAGTTATGACCGTCATTATGCAACTATATAGATGGTTTGACAACAATTTGGTTACAAATGATTTGTGACAATCATTTGTAGTTGGAAAATTTGTGCGTCACATGACCGTCATTTTTTGGTCATATGACGCGATCTAAAAATGACGGTCATTTTGCATCTCTAGTGTCAATCCACGTGTGGCTTGCCAACAGTAGTGCCAGTACCGGCAACTGCTAGAATCAAAATTCAGTGATTGGATTCCCTCCATAACACCATAACTTCCCCGCGTTGTTATTGTCTTCTTTGACGCTCTAATCCCAGATAGACACGTCAAGAGTCATTAGTGTGTTACAAACGAATCCCTCATACCCACGAAATATCAAATGACGCTGGTGAACGTGGGATAAAGTCTCTCATGTCCTCTGTGACACCGAGTGAAGCATAACCTGCTGAATAGTCATCACAGACTAATTGTTAACATTCCTCGTGTTGCATGTATTAACCTGATGTTGCGGCTACTTCTGCTGAGTGCTCTAGTTCTCCAGGGAATTTGCACCGATCCCGAGGAGGCCGAGGGGGTAAAATACGCCAGCAAATGTGAAGGTATGTGAAGACAGACTTTGCTCCGATATTTTTCAATTGGAAGACTAGATTGTTGTTCTTTGCCTCCGAATGGAAGCTTTGTAATCATTCAAATTTAGGATTGGATTTTTTGTGTTGGATCAATCCATTGTGATCCAAAAAGTGAGAAAATGCCATTTTTAGACCGTGTTCGAATGTTTCTGGGCATGCAACAAAGTTTTTCCGTTATTATTCGCTAATGAATCGTTAGAGTTTAATCTTTTTTTAAAATGTAGTTATTGTTGAGCCCTATCCATCGAAATTAATTAAAGATCAGGCTATATATTAATTTTCAGGGCCTTCGAATATTTTCAAAAATGAATTTATTGGATGAAGGCTTCCGGAATTTATTGAATAAAGGCTTCGCGTATGTGAAACAATTCAATCCAATTCAATTCAAAATTCAATAGAAATTCTAATGGGATTCGATTAAAATTCTAAGGAATTCTCGTTAAAATTCTGTTTGTTTTTTTTGCGCAGATTCTATTAGTTATTCAATAGGAAAAAATCAATAGATTTTAATTTTTTTTCACTCGGATCCTGTAATGCAAAACAAAACAAAATATAGCGGAAAAAACAGAAAATCCGTGCCCATGAATTTTAAAAGAAAAAATCACAAGAGAAGAATTTAAAGAGAAAAATCGAAATCTATTGACTTTTTCCTGTTCAATATCTGATAGAATCTACGCAAAAAACAAATAGAATTTTAACGAGAATTCCCTAGAATTTGAATAGAACCTCAATAGAATTTCCATAGAATTCCAATAGAATTTGCTAAGTTTTTCTATTCAATTTTTTCACACATATTCGCACACGAAAAAATTCAACAGAAAAAACGTTGAATTCGCAAGACCATTCTATTGGATTTCTACTGAACTTTTTATTATTTTTTGGGCTATTAATAGAATAGGCCGAAAATACAATATTTTCAGAATCTTTGAGTGACGGGGCATCGAGTTGAAATTTCGAGATAAAAATCGAAATTTCAACGAAATTTAAAAAAACAGCAATCTACATAACGTTCGGCAAATAATGAAGCCGGGCCTAAAATTCAAACAATATGACACTATAAATGATGTACAATAGAAGAAAATGATGTGAAAAATGACTATTCCGAAGCATATTACTAATTTATCCACTTATAAAAAATCCAGTGTAACGATTTAGCCTCCATTAAGCCTCCATTCCGCTTATCATGTAATGTAATATGACGTCAACGTATATTATTTTATGTACTGTAATCTTTTGTTGACAGTAATTGTAAAAAGAGAGAAATTCATTTTTTACTGTAATAAAAAAATATATACTTCTGTCAAAATATATATATATATATATATATATATATATATATATATATATATACAATAAAAAATGTATATATTATATAACATATACTAAACATATATGTTTTATACTGCCATTTTAACAATATATCCCTAAAAATAAAAAAGAACGCAAGAAGCGAAAGAGAAACGAAGATGAATAGGATTATGAAGATTCCGAATAAATTATTCAACAATTAAATTCTCATTGTGAACCACTTTGTTGAAGCCATTCGTTTGTTCTGGATTATTATTGGGATAAAAATTAATGAAAGTGAGAAACGATATGGTTTTACTATTCTGGCACCCATGGAAAATAATACGCGCGTGCCCTGTTAATAAATTAGTTAATTAAAATACCAATGCTATATGAAAACAAAAGCAAATTTCCACTTGTTTTCGCTCCAGTCTGCAAGGTAGTAGCTCACGAGCTCGAGTCGAGGCTCGCTGAGACTGGTAAGAGTCACGATGTCCTGGAGATCGGCTACGCCGTGGACGATGTCAAGCCGAAGAAGAAGAAAGAGTACAGAAAATCGTAAGTTCATTTTTTCACAATTTACAGTCATAGGAGGGGGAGGGCAAAATGGACACTCTTCACTTTGTTAAAAATATTCATAAATCAGGAGCAAACTTAACAGCTCAGTCCAGGCTCATCACGAAGAGAACGAATTGAAAAACTTGTCATGAAATAGTATATTTCATCACGCTGTGCGAAAAAGTAACTTTTTACGTCCCTTTTCCACACATTGTGATGAAAAATATCGTTCGATACTCGTGGGAAAAGTGTTTTTTGGCTCGTGGGATTATATTACTCGCCTTCAGTTCGTGCTATAAACCTCCCACGAGCCAAAATAGTAGGGGAGGGTGGGGTAAAATGGACACTTTAGACTTTTTTAACATTATTTATAACTCAGAAACGAATTTATTAATTGAGATCTGTTTAAGCTCATGACAAAGGGAAAGAATTGTTGTTTGTATTTTAAAAAAATTACTAAATTTCATCAACATTTCAACAGGTCATTAACATTTTAAAAAAAGTCAAAAGTGTCCATTTTACCCCAGCCTCCCCTATATTGTGTTACAAGTGCGTAAAGTACCACTTTTTCGCACGCACGCGTAACACATCCTATTTTTTGTAATAGCTGCCGAGTTCACTGCTCGGAATCGTAGTGGGGGTAAAGTGGTTGCTTTTGTGCACGGTATGCGTAATGTTCAAGGTCATGCGTAAAGCTTCGCTTTACGCACTCGAAATTCACTTTACGCACGACCTCTGAAATTTTTCTCTGAAAATGGAAAAAAAAATTTCCATTGCAATTGTGAAAAAGAAATTATTTGCGCCAAATCCGAAGCGTTTGAACTAAACCAAATTGAATTGTATGAAATCGATTTTGTCGCAACATGTATTTTCTAAATTCGATAGAATAAACAAAATATACTATACTCTAACAAAATCGATTTCATACAATCCAATTTTGGTTTAGTTCAAATCGATATTTGTATCTTACAATAGCATTTTCTTTTGCGACTATTCAATCGACGAACGATTTGGATCAATCATAGAATTTCTATTTCTTAGAAATTTTTTTTCTCAGTGTACGTGAAATGGCTTTTTATAATACGCGTAAAACTTGGAATAAACATCTGGGATCCTGGCTACTAATTAATATATTTGAATCACACTTGGATATAAAATTTGGTGTCGATCGATTCATTAAATCTTGATATAAAGCAATTCGTCCAGAACAAAAATTTTTGTTCTCAAAAGTCACACATTGTCATTTCATCGATTATTTTCTCCTCTGGGGGGGCTTATTCTCAACTTGTTTCCTGTTGTAATGGGATTGATGTCAGCATTTTAGTCTATTAGAAATCAATACCAATGAGAAAAAACAATGAATGCAGCTTCAGGGTTACCAAAAGTCAGTTGATGATGCCTAAAAAAATTTATCGAGATGCATTCGTTTCAAAAGGATCATTCTATGATGCCTAGACAAAATTATTGAGACTATTCTCTAACATGAGATATTCGGGGTAGAAAGGTCACTAGCTAAATTCTCTGAACCCTCTCCATTCCCGAGATATTTTCAAAATGAACTGCACGTGAATGGGAAAAATAGGCGAATTCAATTGCACTTGGGGTTTTTGGACATTCTCCAGTAAAAGGGATAACGAAATAAGAAAGATATTTAGAGAAATTCTCGCTTTTTTCTTCTCATCTTCATCTCAAGTAATGATGATTTTATTAAGCATGCGATGCAATATGAACATCATAGATACAATAAGTTTCAAACAAAAATAATGAACAGATCTGTCGTAATTTCAGAGAATTGAGATTACTAGAATCCCTGGAGAATGTCTGTGAAAGAATCCTCGAATACAACATCCACAAGGAACGGACGGACAGCACGAGATTCGCCAAGGGTATGAGCGAAACATTCCAGACTCTTCACGGTCTAGTGTTAAGTACCAACTCGACAGCAATCGTGATTTCTAATATATTTCAGTAGTGAAGTGGTAAACCGGTATAAGTCGATTTTGACTATTGCCCAGTTTTCAATGAATATCTCGAAATCTAAGGGAAATAGCACAATTTTTGTCATAACCTTTTTTATAGAGCAAATTAAAAGCTACAAAAAAGGAAATTAGAACAATTTCGCTTTTTCTGGCAGAGGAAAACTGGCAGAGAGTCAAAATCGACCTATATCGGTTTACCACTTCGCTACTGATTTATATCTAGATGCATCCATAACTAACAGAATGTCTCATTCTTGATACAGTGATAAAGGAGTCAAGGTGGATTTGGGAATCCCATATGAACTCTGGGACAAGCCCTCGGCGGAGATTACGAACCTGAAGACTCACTGTGAAAATTTATTAGAGAATCATGAGCCTGATGTTGAAGAGTGGTACTTTAATCACCAAGGAAAAGTTCCGTTAATAGAGTAAGTGCTCAAATAAACTCTTTATAATTCAGTAGCGAAGCGGTAAAACGGTTCAAGTCGATATCTCGGAATTTAAGGCGGGTAGAGAGATTTTTGTTATAACCTTTATTGTAGAGTTTATTGAGAGCTACAAACAATATCTGTTAGAGATTGAGGCTAATATTAGGGCGGATTGGGGACTCGTGGTATGGAAAGGGTGAAATTAAAGACACGCGGATTACAAAAACACTGGTGATGTACTTTATTAGTTGCGCTTTATTATTTCGCTATCTTCCTTAAATTCGGAGATATTCCTCGAAAACTCAGCTAAGAACTAAGTCGACTTAAATCGTTTTACCGCTTCACTACTGAATTGTCTTCAACTTGAATCTACAAATATTTTAATAGATTTCACGCGAAAAAATATCGCGAGATCTCCTGTCTCTTAATATTCCGTTTTAAGTAGAGGACTTCCGGTAATTTTTTAAATTCTTTTGCACACATGAACAAATTTAATAAAAAACCCCGGCGCTTTCTTTAAAAAATTCGATTGAATTTCTATTGGAACTCTATAAGAATTCTAATTTTTTAAATTCTTTTATGTCAAATATTTTTTAATATCGACTTTAAGGCCCCCCTGTATTATCTTTCGAACGTGAGCTTGGTTGTCTTTTTTATTCTGTTTATCTGAAATATTCTTCCATTGTTATTCAGTTATACATAGCTCTGGAGACTTGAAAAATTACGAGTGTGCAATAAAAAACGAGCGTTTTTTTTAATACTATTGGGAAATAAACCCAACAGGGAGGAAATTGCAAAGTAATAATTTATTGTGTCTAATGGCTGTCAGGTCGTTGGTCCCCATGATAAATTATCCATTTACAATTTCCTCTATCGGAATATTCCCTAAGATTCAAGATTCAACAAGATTTATTAACATGGATAGATATTTACAAACAAGACAAGACAACAATATGGTACAAGTTTATACATAGAAGATTGATTGGTATAGTATCAGCCCGGAGGCTGGAACATATATATAATATGAGGGGTGAGAAATGGGTTAACAATATGAAGGATGGGGATAGGGAGGAGATGCTGGATAGGGAAAATTGTTTATATTAAAAAACCCTATTACAGGAATATTCCCTAATTTTTTTTCTCGAGGACGACAACTCCCCACTCTCTTCACACTCAACCAATGAAGCGTTACCTGACCGTCTTCGTGACATTCATGACCGAAAAATTGGTCTCGAAAACGTCCAATTTTCAATTAATTATCATCAGACATCTAGGCAATATTTTTCCATAATTTTCGCTGCGTAGCTATCCATGTGTTACGAGGAATGTATGAATAGGGGAATTAAAAAGAATTGAGCTTCATGCAAGTTCCCTATTGTAAAACAAAACTCGACATAACTACACTGAGAGAAATATCGCCATAATATCACAAAACTAATTTCTTGCGCCAAATATTTCTTGAAGATAAATTTCTTGGGATCAGAATTCCGGATAATGTCAGACAATGTCAGATTTCGGTGAAGTGTTCAATTGTTCATGACTTGAACATGAACATTTCATGATAAAGTGAGAATTTCTTGTCACAAAAAATCGATTTTTTCGTGTCAGAAGATGAGAAAATGACTAAAAATAATCAAAGCTCCGATTGAGTGAATCATGAATCAGAGACTTTCATATTGAATGAATAGAGAGTTCATGCAGAGGAAAACCTCCAGATATTAAAAAAATATAACCGTCGCTTACGCTCAATCGCTTTGAGTTCGAAGGGAAGCAATATCTTTTTTTTTTCTGTCGAACTATTCTTGTCTTTTAAGAAATATCTCATTTCGAAAAAAGACATCACCTTTTTATTCAGTAACTTCCTCCTTAGCCCGAAGAGCAGCGATTTCTTGTCTGAAACCTACCATAAATTGATCAAATATATATGCGATATTTTTCGCTCAAGAAATGATTTTTATGATATTATGTCGATTTTTCTCTTAGTGTATTGACTTCATCGTCAAAAATATTCCTCATTGAAAATCCAATGTATTTTTTCAAGCTACTTGTGTGCGGAGAGAGCTCTAGCTGGTGAGGACGATTCGTGTCTGAAGGAAAAGGGTGACATAGGTCACTCAAAACCTGCGGAGAAGAAGCCAAAGAAGAAGAAACAGAAGAAGACGGAGGCCAAGAAATCAGATGAGAAGGATAGTGCCGTTAAACAAGAACTCTAATATTTTTTGTGATTCAATCCAACAAATTTTAACGAAAGTCTTACCATAAAAGCCATATGTGAATGCACACATGAACAAATTGAATAAAAAACCCCAGCACTTTCTTTAAAAAATTCTATTGAATTTCTATTGGAACTCTATAAGAATTCTCTTGGAGTTTTATTAGAATTCTATTTGTTTTTTGCACTATTTTTATGGGAGATTATGTCATTTTGTTCAAAAATATTTGATAGGAAATGTCTACAGATTTTTATTTTTCTGCAGGAATTCTTGAGCATAAATTTTCTAAGCTTTTGGCGCTGGATGTTTTTTTGTTTCTCATTGAAAAAAGTTAGAAAAACTATGCCCATCAATTCTTATAGAAAAAATCCCAACGGAATAAGTTATATAGATAAATCAAAATCTATAAATAAATATCTATTTTCAAACACGGGGGACATTGCATAATTCTCAATAGAATTGACGTTAAAAAACAAATAGAATCTCAATAGAATTTTTATGGAGTTCCACTAGACATTCGATAGAATTTCTTAGAGATAGCTTCCTAGAAAGTTTTCCTATGAAATTTTTTCATACGTGTGTAAATAGTTACTACTATTACTAGGAAATCCTTCAAACATTCATTGAGATTTTAGTGAATAAGGAAAGACAAATTCTGTGAATTTGAACAGAACATTTAGAGAAATTTATGAAAAGAGTTTTGTGAAATATTTCACGGCTTCTATGAAACGTTTTATAATACTTTTTCTAAGCCCAATAGTTCAAAAAACATTTCTTAAATAATATTTATAGCGTTCGTCGACTTGTGTGTCTGTTCTTTACTACTTTGCTAGAGATTCTATTACTTGTATAAATGTCAACAAATGAATTTGAAATGAAGTAAGCCAATAATAAAAGAACTGAAATAACAAATGATTGATAAAATCCCTTCGGAAATGTATCTAAAATTATGTTAACCTTTCTGCTTCTCACTTTTATATTATCATTAAACAAATCTGAAAGTGGAGTTCTTCAAGCGAAACGTCTCCAGACCGGTGAATTTCCGTATTTGATTCAATTCCAAACGATTTCAGCATGTGGAGGTGTTTTACTTACCCCAGATTGGGTATTGACAGCTGCACAGTGTGTCATGTTCAAGAGAAGTGTAAGAATATCTATTCAGAAGAGGGTGATATAAAGTGGATAATTTTTGCATTCCTTTCGAGGTTCATAAGTCAAAGGCCTGGTTGCACCAGGCCCAGTTAAGAAAATCCTTAGTTAAATATTAAAATAACTAAAAATAATCTGCGGATCAATTTTTACTGAAAGTTCATCGAAGGTACACCGAGAGAAAAACAAACATGTTCTCAAACAACTCTTGTTTGGGCCAACAAAATCGCTAATTGAAAATTGCCAAAAAAGAATTTGGTCCGAATTTGAAAGTCTCAGACATGAATAATTGTTCTACTTTCGACAGCAACGAAATATTTGGCTCAAGAGGTCGATAATTCACACCAGACAGTGCCTTTTCAGGATAAGAATATCTCATATAGAGGAAAATTTATCAACAAATATTTTATCCCTAAGTTACAAGATTGCTCATGTCATTATTATTGTTTCATTTAAGTGTTCATTTCTTGTCTGTGATTATTAGACAGCCGAAACGAAAAACTACTATCCCTTGTTTCGCATAAAACAAAGATTTTTCGGGAGCAAAATACGTATGGGAGTATCGACTAACGAAGGAGTAGTGCTAAAAATGACATTTCTTGCGTGTACAGAGAATGCAATTTTTTTTGAACTACTAAATCTATTTTTGCGACAAAAATTTTTCATTCCGGCGCACTCTCTGCATGTTTGGCACAAAAAATCCTTTTTGATCATTTTCAAAAAAATATTTTCTTAAGACAAATGAGACTTGTTTGAGAACTTTGTCGTTTTTCTCTCAGTGTAGTCCCGACTTGGTGGGAAATGTGGAGAACCATTGGAAACTAGTGGGACTGTGTTGAATTGTACTGTAATGAATTGCCCTTGTGCTACATTGCCCGTCTGATAATTAGACATAACACTTACAATAATAAAAAAAAAAGTTGATAAACAAATGTTGATGACAAAATTTTTTATTTTTTGCTTAAGAGAAGACTACTATGAGTTTTAAAAGTCGTGGGTTATTGGACTGAGACTTTTCATACGTTGAAGATCGATTATATAGATCTGAAAACGAATAATTGGTGCAAAAAAAAATTTTTTTTATTGTTGATTTGCCCGAAAACGCTTGAAATGCTAAAAACAGTCCAGGGCCTCCAATTTTTGAGCTACAAAAGATTTTTTTTTTTCAAAATTTTTGGAAAAATGTGTGGAACAACAATTACGAGCCAGTTTTTTAGAACTCGACTCCGACACAGCTGATTTCGGTTTTTTTCATATAAAAAATTCACTATTTGCGTAAAAAATACAAAAAAAGCAAATTTAGCCATGTAAGAGGCGAATTAAAAAAAAATAGTTCGTAATTGTTATTCCACATATTTTCCCGAAAATTTTGGAAAAAAAATCCCTCGTAGCTCAAAAATTGGAGGCCCTGGACTGTTTTTGGAATTCTAAGGGTTTTCGGGCAAACGAACAATAAAAAAAAATTTTTTTGCGCTAGTTATTCATTTTCAGATCTATATAATCGATCTTGAACGTATGAAAAGTCTCACTCCAATAACCCACGACTTAAAACTCATAGTAGTCTTCCCTTAAATTGCGGCAAATAGTCGTTTTTCTCTCCTCTACGTGTTATTTTAACAAATGAGCTTTATTTCTGCGTTCATCCCGCTTTTAGGCAATATTTGTCCACCTGGCAGGCGCAAACGACCCAAATGGAAGACTAGTTGGTGTGAAAGCAACTTATATCCACCCAAATTACGATTTCTACTCTGAATTCCAAGATTTCGAGCACAACATTGCTCTTTTAAAGCTATCAGAGCCCTACGAAATTTCCAAGAACGATAAGCCCCTCCAAATCGGTCCCCTGAGGATAGACGACACCTACAAATCGTGTCTGGTCTTCGGATGGCAGAGCACCGTCTTCCCGAACTCGAGGGTCTTCGCTAAACCAGTTCAGTACATCGAAGTTCTGCCGAATGCCTGGAAAATCTGCACCTACGCTCAGGGAATCTACGGGCCCATCTCCAACCGAGAAAACATATTCTGCGGGATGATAGAGAGTGACGAGGGGCTGAAAGCTTGTGCTGGAAATCCGGGATCTCCCGTTGTTTGTGAGAATCAGTATGGGCGGAGTATCTTGTTGGGAATTGCTTCCTGGACGAATTACTCGTTGTATTGCGATGGTCTGCCGACCTATTTGAGCGTTGCTCCTTTCAGGTAATCATCGAAGAATACTCAAGGATATCCAAGTAGCTGTTGCACTTTCTTATGGTTCACATTACAAATTCAGAGATTTTGAATCAGCATGTTTGTTATTTGAATAGGGAACTTTCTGGTTCGAGGCCCGTGGGCGATGATGGCTAGTTGCAAGTTCTCGAAGTTGCAATGAATTTTGTTAAAAATGAAATTAAAAACAGGGAACGTCCATACATTTTTTCAATTTTTGCTCGGGAATGGAAACGATGTAATTGTAATCTTCCATATAATCGCTCCATTTTTTCGTAATTACTAAAAGACTCATCAGTAAATAAGAATTAAAAAAAGAGAACCCATTCGCAAGCAAATTGCTAATTTACTAGCAACAATAATTATACTCATTTATTTAAAAAACTAGCGGACAGGCGCTTCGCGCCCGTCGCTAGATTATATTATATTATATTAATTTATTTTATTGTTTTGTCTCCAACTTTTCTTTGCGGTTAGATTAAATTAAATTTATTGGATTTTATTCCCATTGTAGTATACAAGTTGTGGGAACAGTTTTTCTCATTTTCAAATGAAGAGATATTTATGTTAAATAATATCAGTATAGTATAATAATTCCTCTCAATGAAATCAAATCATGAAAATGAAATTTTCCGTTTTTATGATCTGATTTTATTGAGAGGAAATGAGAAAAATGCAGGGAGAGATGATCAGCAAGAAAATAAGAGAAAAAGTTTTTTGATTTTTCTGAAAAATTTAAAAACTGATTTTTTTTCTAAATGACGGAAAAATATCAATATATTTCCTTTCTATGATCTAATTTCAATGAAAGAAAGTGAAAAAAAAGAACAGAGATACGTGATCAGCAAGAAAATAAAAATTTCGATTTTTCAATGTCTCCGGAAAGTTTTAAAATTGATATATTTTTTCAAATAATGAAAGAATACCCATTAATTCAATTTCTACCCTCACATTTTGATAGAATACATTAAAAAAATAGCAAAGAATAAAAATCGGAGATGAAAAATTTTATCGGATTAATATAATGTAATAATACAATTGTCCACTTGTTTCAATTTTTGCTTTCGAATAGAAGCTTTGTAATCGCTTTAAATTTCCAATTTTTTGTGTTAGGGTAACTAAATATGGTCTAAAAAATCCGAATATGCGATTTTTCGATGGTATATGTATGTGGCTTTTTTCTTTATTTTTTTCGAACTTTTCTTGTAAGGGATCAATCGAACTCTATGAATTTTTTCAAAATTTTAATCAGCTTTATTCATTGACCCCAATTAAAATTCAATTCTTCATACAAATTCGAAAAAATTGATATTTTTCTAAAAATCGATTTTTCAACGATCACTTAAAAAATTGTCTGTATTATCCCCTGGGCTATTCTACACAGTTAAGCCCTAGATGTTTTTAAGGCATAAATTACTTGGAAAGCGGGATGCTATAGGCTACCCATCGACTTTCCGGACCTCTATATGAGGGAAATAATTGAATAATTATCAATGCACAAATTAAAAAATTCGGAGGCACACGGGCTCGAGCACAAGATGTGTGTCGGCAAACAGAAGATGTGGGATCATACCCCACTTGTGTTCGAGCTCGTCAAAATCAAAATGCAATTAGTCATCGCTCAAAAAATTGATAATCATACCCTCTTGATTCTATCAGAATATGATGGGGGTCGCACAATTCATTGTTCAGTTACAGCACATGACTTATGCGATTTGAAGGAGAAAATCAGTTTTTCATGATTACTGAAAGAATCATGGGTAATAGCAATTGAATTAGGGCTTGAAAAGTATATTTCAATGCTTTCTTAATCAAGTTGAAAAATGGGAAGAACAGCATTATTGTTTATCAAGTTATACGATACCGCCGTGAGCTTTTTATGTAAAAATCTCTATCTCTATTAAACTTAGGTACCAGTCTATTATGTTGAGTACTTATTCATATTGATTCATGGAGTTTATTCAGAATTTAGCCAGAGTATAACCGAGGTTCTGTCAGAAGTTAGTCGGATGACTATAGTTATGGTTGCTAATAAATTTGCAATTTGCCTTCGAATGGGTTCTCTTTTTTAAAATTATTATTTCACTATTCTTCTGTACTATTTTGTCATGTCATAGTACTATTATCAATTGAAATGTCATTAAAATTTTGCTTATTATTTCGTTCTGTCAAATAATTCTACATTTCAACTTCTGACAGAACCTCGGTTATACTCTGGCTAAATTCTGAATAAACTATGATTAAATCCCAGCTATACAATGATTAAACTTTGATTAAACCAGGACTGAAAACGAATTCGAGTCTTGAGAGGGTCTGAATGTAGTTATTTGACAGAACGAAATAAGCAAAATTTCAATGACATTTCAATTGATAACAGTACTATGACATGAAAAAATAGAAGAGAATAGTGAAATAATAATTTTAAAAAAGAGAACCCATTCGAAAGCAAATTGCGAATTTATTAGCAACAATAACTATAGTCATATGTTAAAAAAATGCAATTGCTAACTTGTTTCAAAATATGTTCCAACGTTTTAAACTGGAGAATGAAATTTAAACCTTCAAAATTTAACTGATGGAATTAGTTTAACATTTGAAAATATTCGGTAGCCTAAGGTTAAATGGAATTTAAATAGAAGCTTTGATGTTCGATTACAATATTTGAGGATTTCAACGAAACAAAAGGTCAAAGGTACTTGGATATCCTTCATAATGAGTGAGAGAGTTATTTCGAGTCGAGATTATCATCAAATGATAGTCAAGTGTTACATACACCTTAGTTTCATACCAATATTTGGACAATAAATTATTCTCAGGATTCATAGAAAATACAGAGAAACCTTTCTTGTTGTTGAAGAAATTTGTAGCAAGCGAGATCTCTTGATATTTTCCCTCAAAAACTGCACTCTCACTTTCGATGTTGAATAAAAACTTCTCCAACACAGAAAACTCGATAATATTATGTACTGTTTTGCAATTGAATAGCTCCTGGATTTATAATCTAATTCTGAGCACTGACCGACCCCCAGTTCCTGAAACTACAGTGAATTTCGAAACTGAGACGCGAATTGATAGAATCAGAGGGGATTTAGGGGAGTTTGAAGGAGCAGAAGAAACGGGACTTGAGGACTTTGGAGAGTTCGACGATTACAGGGACTTTAGAAGACACTATGGAGATCCCCTTCGAAAGCATGAGGACGACCCTCATTTCTTTTATGTTTCATCTGCAATCCCTTTTCATCATTTTTCTATTTTTATATGGACATCACTGAGTCAAATTCTTATCTATTGTTTCATTTGAACGACAATAAAAGCCCTAAATTAGTCTACAAGCAAAAATATGATATTATTGCTTTAATTCAGTAGCGAAGTGGTAAAGCGGTCTAAGGCCCGGGTGTACTATCTTTCGAACGTTATCTTGATGTTTTTTTTTCATCTTTCGTCATCTGAAATTGTCAATTAAGTCATACATTATGCAGAAGTTTTGAAAAATTATGAATGAATAATCAAAAAAAGTAGAAAAAATTCTTAATTTTTTCAAAGAGCATTTTTAATTTATATTTAGAATAAGTTGAATAACAAGAAATTGAAAAATGTATCTGATTTACGGTGACAAATGGCGGCCTGTCACCCAATATCATGCAGGGAGAAGACTGATTTCGTAAATCTTTTCCCACACTGCACAGAGACATTTATTACGGAAAAGGCTCTTTGAAAAAAGTTGTAATATTTCGGAGAATTTTTTAATCACACTTTTATCACATAAAAATGGCAGATGACTACATACCACTGTTTTGAAAATTGAGATACCTAGCTGTCACTTCCCATGAGGAGTTAGTGTTTTGTTATCCACCATG